TAAATGAAACATGCACCACGCAAATGGACACTTTAAATTATGCAGAATGTGATTCTCACCAGAAATTGCTTAAGTGAACGCGCCCTAAAACTTCTCGGACCTTTTCTCTACAGAATCACTTGAGGACATAAGGAACCAGCTTCTCATCAGGGTATATCAATATGCCATCTGGTGGCCGCACAGCTCATATTGAACTTTGGCGCAAGATTGCCTCAAAACATCACAATGAGACTCAGCCAGTAAACCAACATCTTGACTTCATTTGTAAGCGCTTTGAAGAACTTGACATGCAAGGTTTTATCTGGTCCAAGGAATCAATTCTTGGGATCTTTCTTCAACTTGGTCTACCCAAAAGTACAAATGGTCTCTTCTCATTGGTCAACAAGACTCTTGAATCTTGAGCACTTCAGGGATTTGGAAGTTCATCCAATGAAGTAGAAGAAGTTATTCAAACCAAGGAATTAAGACATAAATCTTGTCCTCTGGGCCTCATGGCTCTACCTACACCGAGACGCTCCGCTATTAATAGCGCTACAAAATTGTAGTGTAGTGCTATATCACTAGCCAGGTAGCGCTATGGATGTAGTTGCACAGCGCTCCGCTATCTAAAAATAGCTAACAATGCCTGTGAAGACCACACTCCGATATATCGGTGTGATTGGATTTATAGCGCTATGTAGCCTTAGGTAGCGCTACTCGCAGCACTATCATGTAGCACTATGTAGTGCTACATAGTGCTACATAGCTCCAGGTAGCGCTCCATGAGGGTGTTTTTTAATAATTACATAAGGAAACTCAAAAGCCTATTAATTTCAAATCCGGAGATGTATAATTCAGGGGCACTGTCTCCTTAGCTCACAAAAACAACAGGGACTTGGAAGGGCGTGTCCAATCTCCTTCCAGCTATGTATCAACAATGCAGGTATGTTTCTTTTAGTATCTCCGTGTTTCAATCAATCATCTGACACCATCCCTGCTTTATCAAAACACTCACCACTTTATTCGATTTTGGTTTCCCATCATCCGAATCCCACACTCACTCAACTTACAATCTTTTCAACTCCCCCTTTCCTTTCCATTCGTTTCCTAATCTTTCAGAATCTTGTTGTGGCTTTCAGACATCAACATGAGCTCATTAGCCCCACCCACCCCTCTACGCACTAGTTCTCGTAACCGTTCCGCCCCAAACAGTCCCGGCATGGTTCCCACCTCGTCAGATTCTCGATTGTCACTCAGCGTAACTACTGCAGATGCATCTAGTAAAAGTAACACTGAACTGCCTGCCGTAGCCTCGGATTCTGATGAAGAAGAAACTGTCACTGTTCGCAAAAGAAAGAAACGAGGGGAGAAGTCCCAGAATGAAATTTTGTCCGATTTAGATTCTACTCAAGGTCGCAAAAAGTCAAAATCAAACAAAGTAAGCTCACTATCACATCATTCTTTACAATATTTGGTGTTCTTATAATCCGTACCATTCCTATTTTATCACATTGTAGCATATCACAGCTCCGATTGAGATAGACCTAGATCAGGATGATGGTACATCGGTGGCAACATCTTCAGCCAAGCGAAGAGGTATCCGCCAGCAAAAAGCAGAAGAGGCGAAAGAACTAGCTCTCTACTTCTTTCCACCTGAGCATATAGGCAACGAGGGAAGAATCATTATTATCACACCAACCTATCATTGATGTTAAACTGATTTGATATCTACCTTTGATAGACCGGGCCCAAGCCTCGAGGCTACAAGTGCCGATTCTGTCTTAACGTTTATACTAAGGGCCCTAGTGGATGGTCAAAACTCTATGGGCATTGCGACGGATCCGAAAGCCGACCAGTCTGTGTAGCTCGTCACAAGGCAACTGATCTCAAACTTCCACCTACTTTCAAACAACGTGAAGCTGAAAAGAAGAAGGCTTCATCGGGCACCTTAGACAAGTTTGTCTCAACTATCAAGTTCACTGTCGAGATATTCAATCAAATTATGGTCATATGGGTTTTATTACATGCCTTGCCTTGGGCTCGAATGGAAGACGTCCCCCTCCGAGCAGCCTTTTCCTTCGCCAATGTTTCAGCATCACTTCGTTCTGCATCTTGGGCGCAAAAGGCTTCTACTCGTTTGTATGAGGACATGTTGAAAACTGTTGTTGAAGAATTACATGTAGGTCAAATCTTTTTACCATCTTTGAAGGATTATAGTAATCATTGACTGACCTTATTATTTGTAAGGCTATCCCGGGTAAATTTTGTCTCATCCACGATGTCTGGACGACCAAAGGAAAACGACACGCTTTCATCGGTGTATCAGTGACATACATCGATTCAGATTGGAAGTTTTGCTGCCGACACCTGACGTTCAAGCTTGCTGCATGGCATCACTACGGAGCTCTGCTGGCTCGGCCAGTTGCATGTTTCCTCATCAAGCACGGGTTACATAAAAAGATGAGTACTTTTACAATCTGTTTATTAAATTTATCTTTTTGTTTTAATATGCATTTTTCCATTTTGTTATCTACATGTTGGCTCAGACCACAGATTCGGGTGCAAACAACAATACGATGGCTGAAGAACTGGCCAAAGAGTTCTCATTTGCGAAAGATCCGGTAAACTGGAACCCGAAGACGATGCACATACGATGTGCTGCTCACAAGCTTGCATTAGTGGTTAAAGCGGGACTTGCTCATATGGATGTTTTGGTAGGACATGTCAAGCCATCCACTTTACCCGGAGTAGATGTACCTTCCATCATGCTAAACGACGGCGAATCCCAACCCAATCTTGAGCCTGAATCTGAAGACTCAGACTGTGCAGGACATGTGCAGTATCAAGAGGATACTGATAGTGAAGATCGAATCTCTGAAGCCGATGAACCACCCGAAGTTGAGGAAGCTCCATCACAACTACCTTCAATCTTCAAAATTACTGAACCACCAGGAGGCTGGAAACCAGATAATGTTCGGTCAGCGGTGAAAAAGGTAAGTATAGATTCTTGCATAGATTTTAGTTGCTTTGGACATTCAGGACTGATAATATTAATCTTTTTGTCTTAGGTCGACAAAGCTATCCGATTGATATCTTCGAGCGGACCTCGACGCGACCAATTCAAACTGATCATGGGTGGAGGTAAAGGAATAATTGCAGGTAGCTGTCATCGATGGAATGGTAAGCATGAGGCACGCAAACGTGCATGTGATGGTCAAAAAGTAAGTTTTATACTTTCATATGTCTCGTTGTGATATTGTGCTAATCAGAACCTCGTCATCAGGCCATCAACCAGATGATTGCCGAAGATTCTGAAGGACTCTACTATGGCGAACTTCATATAACTGCCACCAATTGGGCATCAGTCAAAGCATTGAATGATGTTACCGAGGTAAGTTGATCATTTTTTACTTAGCTATTTGAAGTCACTATCTGACTTTAAGATCTATTCATTGTACAAGATATTTTTACAAGGAACCCTGCGTGTTGAAGGGGATAAGCCGACTGCAGGTATTATCCTTCTGGAGTACCAGCTCATCAAGGAGTCGCTTATGGCCAAAGCAGCAAGCTCTCCTTACAAGAGCATTCAAGAAATGATCGGTGTGATGATCAAGAAGCTTGATGGTTACCAAAAAGAAGCGGTCAAGTCAGATGCAGTTGTTTTGGCAACTGTGCTGAACCCTTCTTTACGTCTCGGCTTTTTCACTACTTATTTTCCAGACGAAGTTGAGCGTGTGAAGAAATTGTGTCAAACTGTATTCGATTGTGTCAACTCCGAGTTCAACGCCAACAAGGAACCACAGCCCGAGGCTCCAATCCAGCTGAACACATCATCTAACCCTTACAATGCTTTCAAGTTCAACCCAAAACCAGCTGCACAACAGAATACGGACAAAACGGAAATTCGAAGGTATTTGGATTGGGATATCAATGGGCCTGGCGAGAATCAATCAATGTTAGAGTGGTGGAAGGCAAGTCACTCATGTTAATTTAATTATCAAAAACCCTTTCAAGAAATTGTACTCAACTATTCTTATATTTAGGAATACTGCAAAATCTACCCGGTCGTTGGCAGGATGGCTCAAGATTACTTGGGGTGCTCTGGTACTTCTTGCACAGTAGAGCGTACTTTCTCTTCTGCAGCAGATATCTGCACTACCAATCGTGGCGGCCTTGGAACCAAGACGATGGAGTGGGCTGTTGGATGTCGGCTCTGGTTGAGATCAGGTGTGATACCCACAGGCGAATTTCAGGAGGCCTTTTCACTCATTGATCTGGATGGTAGCAAGACTAAACATAAATCTAAATCTAAGCGTTAAGGCCATTGTCAATTTGTTTTTTTATTTTTCTATCAGTTCTTTGTTTTGTTTTCATCTTTCACTCTTTATAGCAATACATGCAATACACTACAATATATCGGAGTGGAGTGCTTTATAGCGCTGTGATAGTGCTCCTAGCACTATATCGGAGCGCTGGGTAGTGATAAGGTGCTCCGATATCCCTGGGCCAAAAAAATCGAAATAGATAGTGTAGTGTAGCGCTTGAGAATTTAGTGGACCTGCACTACACTATCAAAAATTGGGAATATAGCGGAGCGTCTTGGTGTAGGCTCTACCTATCAAGGTTTTTGACAAGATGCTGGAAAAACTTGATTGCATAGCTAGGCTTGAGGCTAGGAGTATTGAATCTAAAAAGCGCAAATGTAGGGTGAAGGTCTTCCTGCCAGGTGACAATGGAGTATACCTCACCTACTTGAACCCTGACTCGTCAATCTTGATTAGCATTCAAACC